ACACACACACACACACACACACACACACACACACACACACACACTACAACCATGATCCATGCTCTGTGGACCTTGAGGACTTCAGTGGTTTTAACAGCTGCTACCACACTTCCCCCAACACATACACACACACACACAGTACATAGAGATTGTGCTTTTTAAAGTTTGGAGCAAATCAAATATTTTTTTTGAATGATGTTATCTCTTCCACAAAAAGATAAAGGGGTGTTTTTGTGTCAGAAATACTTTGCCCTCACTTTCCCAAAATGTCCTCACTCTCATGAGTATTACACACACTTCATTTCACCTTACCTTTATGTTACATAGTACAAATGTGAAATTTAATACAAGTATAATATAGATTTCTATATGTGGGCCTATATAGGATCTGGTCAGACCTAACCATGTATAGTTAAATAATTCCAACATGTGTTGAACTCTGAGATTTCAATGCATTTCCCATGTTTGAACCATTAGTATTAATTTCTGCACAGTGAGATTTAGTGGAAGGATTGAAATGTGCAGGAGTTTTATAAGGACTTGACTTCCTGCTTTGTTTCTTACAACTTCTTCTGTGACCTAATTATTACCCAGTACCTCCCTCTGCAGGAATCCCTGTGTGTACTGGTCTCAGCTGCAGTCAGCGTGAGTGTGCGTGTGAGTGGGGAGGAGGAGGAGGAGTGAACACAGGAACTACCACAGCAGATCTCTGAGCTTCTTCATCTCCCACGCTGCACTTTTTAAAAAAGCTCTCCCTCTCGGCCATTTTTTCCTGCAACTTCTTCTCTGCAAACTGTTCGTCTGCCTCTCCTCCTCCTTGTATCGGGTGTGGCCGGGTCGGTGTGAGTCAGCAGGAACCGAAGGTAAAGTGTGGAGACCAAACCCGAGCTGTCATGCAAACAGACTTAACAACACGAGGACACGTCTGGTTTGTGTTAGATTGTCGTTTCGCGTGAGAGCTGAGATCACATGCTGCGTTTAATGCCACGTTGCCTCCTGCAGCTGCTCACACTGGTGTTTGTTATACTGCCGTGTGGCGTTCAAGTGCATGTGGTGGAACATGTTAGTTTGTTGTATTGTGGGTATTTTTTATTTCAGGTGTTGTGAACATGTTGTGAAAACTTTGCAGTGCAGGAGGTGTGTGTGTGATGTCACTGCACCTGATCTGGCAGTTTCCACTCTTCCTGTGAAGCTCTATGTAGTTCACTTTTTGTTAAAGGTCTAGTGTGTAAGATTCAGGTGAAAGGGATCTATTGGCAAACATTTAATGTGGAATAATCCTCATGATGTTTTCATTGTTTATTTCATCTAAATTATATGAATTGTAGTTTTCTTTGTAGTTTTTTAGACAAGGCCCTTTATATTCAAATACTTTACATTTACAACGAGGGGGTCCTCTCTACGGAGACCGCCATGTTTTTTACATTAGTCCAGACTGAACAAAGTAAACACCTTTTGAGTTTTTATGACAATTAAAGTCTTTTTCATGTTTGGAAGGAGAGGGTGAGCCGAGGGGTGTTCAGCTGCAACATGCAACTTCAACACTAGATATCACAACATTCTACACACTGAGCCTTTAAACCCTCATTTTGAACTAAATGTTTGTAAACCTTCATCTAATCCATTCAATCAATTATAATCTATTAAAAAAGAGTTGGCAGCTACTGTAGTCATTGATTAGTTGAGTCTGACTCGTCTCTGCTTCTGTTTTTATCCATTCAAAATGTAGATTGTCAGCATCTATAATGACATGTTTAATCTACGTTTGCCTTTTGTGTGTGGGGTTTCTCATTATAAATATCTATCTGTCATTCAGTTAAATTATTATTCTTTATAATTCAAGTTCATGATATCTGACAAAACTTAATTTAAGGTATCTTAAATTGAGTTAAAGATATGTTGAACTTGAACTATGACCAATCAGAATTAAATAGTAGCTGAAAACTGGAGTTATAGACATAAAACAAAAAAAAGTTGCACATGAAGAACATTGTGTAAGAAGACGAATAAACTGCAGGTCAGGATAAAATGCAGCTTTTGACTTTTTATCCGATTAATAATTGAGGAATCAAAAAAAGATTAATCAATTATTCAAATAGTTGCAGTCCTAGACACAGTATTCTTTACAATCTCTGGATGACACACTGCATGTCTGAGGACAGAAAGAGATAAGACGATCTGAAGTGCCAGCCGCCACCAGAATATTGTTTGTGTTCGGTGTCGGGCACACGTGACTTGTTGTTAGATAATGTCTCTGCAAACTGACGAGCATTATGCGACTCGCGGCTGAACCTTGATCTCTGTTGTCTTTCGGGTCATTGCAGGATTGTAGATCAGTGCGTGGAGCAGGTGTTTTCTGACTGGAACTGGAGTTGATCACATTATCTGACATTTCTTGAACCTTTCTACCAGATTGTATTTGAAATAAAGCTCAACTCCATTTGGTGAAAAGGTGACCTGAACTCTGGATTTAAGTGTAACATTGTCTCTGCAGCCTGTAAACAAATGTGAAATGTAATATAAGAAAAAATGGGTTTGTAAATATTTTGTAAAACACTTCTCTGCTGTTTCACACTCTGTCCCTCTGTAACATCTGACTGTCCTCAGGCGACCATGGCCTTCCTTGGGAGCGCAGCTCGGCGGTTGGTGTTGGCAGCACGCCCCCCTCTCTCTCCTCTGTGCCGGACGAGTGCTCGGTCCTACAGCTCAACACCCACCCAGGAAAAAAGTGTCCCCTACGAGAAGACGCTCCAACAGAAGGATGGATCGTCCTCTGGACCCACTAAACCTCTGCCCAGGTCAGCTCAGCAGATGGACGGAAAGAGGGAGAGCTCCATAGGAGGATTTGGAGGAGGATTGTGCTCATAGTGTTGGGGAAGGAATGGATCAATATGTGGTTTTGATTATGGACCAGTTGTTGAAGGACTAATGGTCACGATGACTGAAAATATTGTAGAAGCTAGAAAGATAATTTTGAAATAATGGCACCTATGAATACAAGTAGTGATTTTAATTCAAAAGAAATTCAAACACAATCATTATACTTCGGTGAAAAATACATTTAGGGAAATCAACCTGTTCCACTGAATAACTGAAAGTAGCTTGAAGTGGTGTCGTCCTAGTCCCACCTTGAAAGTGTCCGCTCACCTGTAGTTTCTCTGTCCCCTGCCTCAGGTCAGCGGACGCGGTGGTGATCGGAGGAGGCAGCCTGGGCTGTCAGACCATCTACCACCTGGCTAAAATGGGACTGACCAATGTAGTCCTGCTGGAGAGAGACAGACTGACCGCGGGCACCACCTGGCACACTGCAGGTAACAAACTGCAGGAACAGAGTGGGAGGATAAGGTGTGAGGAGTGTGTGTGTGTACCTGAAATCATGCACGCTGAAATACATCCAAAGATTCTCTCATTATTGTAAAACGAAATGGTGGCACGGTTCAAGGTCCAGTAAAATAAATGAGTAAAGAACTGTGGGTTAGTTTGTTCACAATAAAGTCAAATAGTTTTTTCCTCCCTTTCTCTAGACTCATTCTGAATATTTCTGTCCATGGTTATGGACAGATTGTGGTTATTGTGTTTTTTACCCTGATTACAGACATGTGCATAAGCCAATTAAGTTTTTTCTCTGAATCCGGACCGGCCCTCTCCTGCTCTGGTTGTGTCCACATACTGGACCTTGTTGTTCACGTAATTCTGTACATCGGCTCATGTGTCTGTGTATTCACCAGGCCTGCTGTGGCAGCTCCGTCCCAGTGACGTTGAGGTGGAGCTCCTGGCCCACACCAGGAACGTGATCAGCAAAGACCTGGAAGAGGAGACGGGCCTCCACACCGGATGGATCCAGAATGGAGGACTCTTCATCGCCTCCAACAAGCAGAGACTGGACGAGTACAAGCGCCTCATGTCGGTATGAATGGAGATGTTTTGGCCACAGGGAGGAAAAGAGAACTGCATGGTGTGGTAAAGAGATTAGGTTCATCATGGGACACAAGTTTTTTGTTTGGTGCAAGGGTCGATTTTGATCGATCTCTGCGAACACCTAAGTCTCCCCCCTGTTGAGCAAATTATTAAAGAGGTTTTTCAGAATTGAACCAGATCTTCAACTACTGTTTCCACTCCTCAGGGCTTTAATATGTTAAGCTCATATTCTTTAAGCTCAAAATGGCTCATGAGGAGAAAAGTCTTTGTTTACCTTGACTCACATGTTGCACGTTCAAAGTTCAGCTGGAAAAACAAAAGGTAAAATGTCAACACCAACAACTCCCAGTTTTGTTTTCCTCAGATAGTTCACTTTGAAATGTTTTCATTTTGTAACCAGTTGCTCTTGCTAGTTACACAGAAAACTTTGACGAAGGGTTGTATTAGAGGAATGGATGTGATTTCCATTTTGATGCACACATCCACTGCTGAATCTTTGTTCTGCTTGAGATTAAAATTATTTATATTCAAGTTGTGATGTTCAGAGTCAAAGTGCGTTTCTGACTGTGATGAATGATAGAAAGATTTTAGTGGAAAATTATCTTTGCAAATTGAAATCTGTTTTTATCCGTAAATTAAATCTGCCCCTGGTGAATATGTAGCATTAACTCATCATTATATGAAAGATGACCGAGACGTGGTTACTTGAGATGAATCCATTCTTCTCAGTTAAAACCAGAAACACTGAAACGTGTCATTTCCTCTTATTTCTAGCTGGGTAAAGTTTATGGTATTGAGTCCCACGTGCTGTCACCTGCTGAGACCAAGGACCTGTATCCTCTGATGAACGTCGATGATCTGTATGGAACCCTGTATGTACCAAAAGACGGCACCATGGACCCAGCCGGCACCTGCACCACCCTGGCCAGAGCTGCCTCCGCCAGGGGAGCCAAGGTAAACTGCAGTGATATACTAACTAGTTCTCTTCTGGTTGGACCATGAATATACATCATATATTACTGTTGATGTGCACATTGTGTTAGTGAGTCAGGTGAGTTGCTGCTGTGTGTTTCTGTGTGTGTGACATAACACAGTACTGTGCAAAAATAGTGTCCTTATCTGAACAACAGAATCTATTGAAGATTGCGGTTTCAAAGAGTCCCACTATATTTCCTCTTTAACTTATAGATAGTCCATCTATTACCTTTGTGTTTATGATGGTCACAGCTTTTATGGGGCAGTTTGAGGTCCAGTCCAATAAATAAGCACAATATGTACAGTAACTCTGAGGAAATGTATTCCAAAGTGCTTTACATGAATATTTGAGAGACAAAATGTTGGTTTTATATAAAGTATTTAAGACATGTGGTAATACTGGTAAAATGCAGCCTGGGGGATTATGTATTTTACTATCAGGCTTTTATTCATCATGGAGGCAGCTGCTGTTCAGGTTGATCAGTATTCAGGCCATAAAATAAAAAAATAACAAAGTTACCAACACGTTTTCAGTGATGTCACTTTTCATTAATCACCTTGTTGGGCGTCACGAACCTAAAGCCACGTAAAACCACTGAGGCCATGCGATCATTGTGTTATTATAATGTTGAAATGTTGAAGACCTCAGCCAACCCAAACTTTAGTGGTGAGCTCTTTGCTCTCAGAGAACTACTTTACATATATATTTACTGCATATTATATCAATTTACATCAGTTTATTGTATAATAATAATTTAGCTTAGCATGATTATTATAATTGAGTACTGCAAAATTATGTCATACCACTATCACAGTAGTGTCAGAAAACTCAAGCCTACACTCACATGTTCCAATCTTTTCATTGGTAAGATTTAAAGGGTTGGAGAAGCCAAAAATACTGGATCTCCAAGCTGCATGCACATAACTCCACCCTTCTCTCTTAAAACCAGGTGATTGAGAACTGCCCTGTGACTGGAATCACCGTGCGCACAGATGACTTAGGGGTGAAGAGGGTGAAGGCGGTGGAGACCCCTCACGGGACAATTGAAACACCTTGTGTAGTGAACTGTGCAGGTGAGATATAGAGGAGATTAACTAACTAATCCTCCTAAGACGAAAAAAAATTACAGGTGACGAGGAGGTATGGTTTAGCTTGAGATGGAAAAGAAACATTGAGCTGTGCACTGACTGGACAGTTTGTGTAATATGATGTTAAAGCAGCTCAGAGAGTCAATTTCAAATAGCTTCTCTCCTGGATGCAATGTGGTTTGATGTTTGTCTCTGTTTGTTACTTGCAGGTGTGTGGGCTACCAAGCTGGGGGAAATGGCCGGAGTCAAGGTGCCTCTCATAGCGATGCATCATGCCTATGTGGTGACGGAGAGAATTGAAGGCATACAGGTAGGACCAGCAGCCACCTGTCATATCTAAAAAAAACATTTAACCATCAAATGAACCATTGGCACAGTGTTGTGTAGTCTCCTGGTCGCACGCTGGATGTAACAATCACATGAACTTTTATCTCATGAGATAATTGTGCTGTATAATTGTAAAGATTGGACCTATTAATTATTGCTGCTTTATTTGAAATGCGCCCAGACAAATGTCTACTGTGAGATTTAAATGTTCCTTTAATTTCCCTTGGAGACAGAAATTCTGTCCTGTGTATGTATTACTTTCATGTGAACAATAGGGGGCACTATGGCCAAGGACATTTCAGACTGTGTGTGTGTGTGTGTGTGTGTGTGTGTGTGTGTGTGTGTGTGTGTGTGTGTGTGTGTGTGAGAGATAGATAGAGGGTGATTGATTTGTTTAAACACATAAATGTCAGTAATGTGTATGTATTCAGGAGCATCAGTGAGGCATATGTATGCACTGCTCGTGATCCACTGTAACTCAGTGTGTGTGTGTGTTCGATTTATTGAGTGTACACATGCATGACTGTGCTCATCCTCTAGAGGCTGGTGGTTTTAGATGGGCTGTCAGAGCTTCCCTGTGTTATGTAGTTTAAGAGCAGCTTAACCAGCATTACTGCTACATCATGCACACTGACGAGCCCACACACACACACACACACACACAGAACGAAACACTCACACACTGGGATGCCATGAGGAGATATGTTCCCATCATGCTGTGTAACTTCAGATCAAACCTCCCATGCTGACTTCAGATCTGTGTGTGAATCCTTTAAGTTAAAGAATGTAGCAGGCTAGCTGACGGTAACCAGTGTTGGTTTTCCTCTGTGTGAGCACATGAAGGACAGAATGTACTGCAGTGCTCAGTATCGATCACATGGAGAAGGCGCCTGGCTGAGCTCCACGCAGAGCAGAGAGCAGTTTGGCTTTTATCAAATGTGGTGAGCTGTTTTTTCCAAATGTCAGCTCGTTCACTGGTATTTTGGTTTCTGTACCCAGAGCCAGTTGACTTTGGAACGAACAGCACTCAAGACAGGATGAATGCAAATGGCACGACATCCTTTAGGTGCACAGTAGCCGTAAAGTAATTGCACTGCTCAATCTGCCTTTTTTACTGCATACTTTTGTACCTACTGTATATCTCACTTTAGTTCTCAATACATTTTGTATTTTTATACCGGGATCAGAGAGAATGGCATTTCATGTTTCACATATGACAGAAGTGACAATAAAGTTGACTTAGAGTGATATAATGGGAAAACCAGCTTTAAGATGATGGCACGACATTGTTTTTTTCTCAGCAGCTTAATTTCCTGACAATTTTACTCATTTAGTCGAGTATCTGGTTTAAAAAGCCAAAAAACATTTGGTGGAATGTTTGCAGATTTGTTAAAGTCTGTCCTTCTGTCTCATCATCATGAATCAATGTTTTTGAATTGCCAGCAAACACAAACTGAGCTTTTTTGATTGAAGAAATAATGACATTTAATGAAAAAACAAGTGAAAACTCCATTATCATTATCTTAAACTTCACTTGACCAATTCATGTTTTGATGCTTAACCTTTTAATCCTTACAGAACATGCCAAATGTCAGGGACCATGATGCATCTGTGTACCTGCGGCTCCAAGGTGACGCCTTGTCTGTGGGCGGCTACGAACAAAACCCCATCTTCTGGGACGAGGTAAGCTGGAGTGTGAACTAATGATCTCCCATCTCGTTCTCGGTCAATAGTTCAGAGACTCTGAAACCTCAATTATTGACGTGCGTGCGTCTGAGTGAGAGACGTGACGTAGCATCTGCCTCGATCGACATCAAATCAAATACCTCAATTAGGTAGCTGAATAAACTTTAATCCTGTTTATGTAGTTCTCATTCTCTCTGTCAGTTTGACCTCATCCTGTCTTTCTTTCCCTTGTCTTCATTACTTACTGCTGTATTAACTTGGAGGTCAAATCTTATTCTTTACAGGACTCATAAAACTGTGTGAGTGTGGAAGGAAGTATTTAATGCTAGTGTAATAATTTTGAATTACCCTATTATAAGTAAAAGTCCTGCACTCAAAATTTAGTTGAAGTAAAAGTACTAAAGTGCCACAATACACCATAGTGGAAAAGTTTGGAAAATATCCTAATTTGCTTCCTTGCCAGTTGGATGAGCAGAATGATACCACTGTTACCAGTATATGTGGTTTAACTGTTTCCAGATATCTAGTCTGATTATATTAGTGTGGAATCAGGAGGTGGGGTCTGCAGCTAGTTTGACCTTCTGCAAAGGTAAAAAAATACAGGCCTGGTCTAAAGCCAAAATATTTAACTCATACATTAAGAGAAATGCAAAAAGCTAAGAGAACTGAAAATGAACTTAAATACTGAAAGCGATTCATGGCTTTTAGAAAAGTTAGAGGGAAACATATTTGGAAATAGTCTCAAAAAGAGTTTTCTGGACTATCAAGTGTCTTATTACCTTCACACTAGATATGTTTAATTTTTAATGGGCAGACTGATGAGCATAATCCAGGCTCCAAATGTTTGAACACCCACAAACCTTATTTTTAGCCTCACTAGGGGGAAAATAACTTTTATTGGAACATTAAAACCGAAGCATCTCTGTAAAAGATGGAAATAACAAGTGGCTGTGAAAAAACAAATCCTTCAAACTGTCCTTTGGCAGCTATAAAAAAAGCAACTCTACAGGCAGTTATTTTACGTACGGACTCTTTTAAAGGTGGTGGTTTATTTTTCATTTTGGACATCGATCTTTGTAAAAGCCTTTGAATCAACAGGTGGTCTACGTCCTAATGGAAGTGTTCTTTCTCTCAAGGACAGCTTTTCAGTTTGTCTCTGATCCTGTCCTGGTGTCCCTGGGGAACAGTTCTTCACTCCTCAGTCGTTCCTGTTTGGTTTTATTCCTTCAAATCTGTAGAAAGCAGTGTAACCCTGCTCCTGTGCTATTCACAAGAAATGATTATTATCTGCGTCAAGCCGCATGTGTCAGAATGAGTTATTGAAATGCACAGGATTTCAAATGGTATATCAATATCAGAAATCTAATTCTAATTAGATAAGGCCTATTCAGCCCCAAAAATATTGAGATAATGTAAACAATTAAAGAATATATGATCAGCTTATATAAAAAGTGGACGCAGATAAAATCTTCTCGCTTCTCTGTAACTTGAAGACTTTGTCTGTCTTTCCGTCTGGCTGCCTTCCTATCTGCACGAGAGAGGATTTCTTTGTGCATGAAGCAGCGTCTTTTGTTCTCGTTCTGCAGCTGAGCGTTGCTTTGATGTCTCGAGGCGGATGGAGGAAGAAAGAGCAGATACAGAAAGGAGAATTAGCAGGGAGAGAATGGAGGATGCCTACTGAGTGAAGATGAACGAGATCGATGGCATGGGAGGGATTGAGAGGAGAAGTGTTGGCGTCCAGGACAAAGAGCACTGCTCCTAAGACACTCCAGAGTCGGTGCTCAGCAATAACGCACAACTCTTTGTTCACATGAAAGCGGCTGGCGTCAGCTTATACTTTCTTTGTTACATTCAGGTCTTTATTTAAAATTTGAAAGTGTCACCACTGATGTTCATTGTACAGCCACAGGAAGTGCTTTCAGTTTGCCTATAGCTCCTTTGCGCAGACTTTCAACTTGAAGAATTGCTCATATTCAACATATTTAGGATTTTAGGGAATAAGTGAATGCTATGTAAGTGGGAACTGCATTTCCAGAGAATCCAGGATGGAGAAGATCAGCTGTGAATCCAAGATGGAGAAGGATTGAGAGGAGAGGATGACCAGATCAGTGAGGGGATACAGGGAGATATAGTGAAGCTGATAAACTCAGCACAGAGCACAAGGTGGTGAGCTGCACTTGAAGATTTTAAGCTCCTTGAGTCAGCCACATTTGTGTAGGAGCGAGAGAAGTTTGAGGGCGAGGCGTTCTACGCTGCTCTGCGTGAGTTGTGGGAGCTAAAGTTTTGGCCTGGAATGACGAGGAAGGAGTTGCAGAGGTCCTGCAGATGGGAGCAAAGTAAAGCTTGGACCAAATGCTGAGAGACAGAACTGTCGGCATTCTGTTATAAATATACAAAGATGGTCTGTAGTTTGTGAGATAAAGGATTATTCTTTTCTAGGCTACCTGACTTTATTATCAATTATGGGGAAGTTTAAGTAATTCTTGGACTCTGATGGTGAAATTTTATTTATTATGGTCTGAAGAATTGAACTTGTTGAAACCTGCAGAAAATCATCATAAAATCAGGGTTAGGCTTAGTATTTTTTTTTTTTTTAATAAATAATAGGTCACATGTTTGTCTGTGTTTCCTCTCCCAGGTGTCTGATAAGTTCGCCTTCAGTTTGTTTGACCTGGACTGGGATGTATTCATGCAACATATCGAGGGTGCGATTAACAGAGTCCCCAGTTTGGAGCAGACTGGCATCAAGTCCACTGTCTGTGGACCAGGTATGTTCACACACATCAGGTGAACAAGCAACTGTAATGGCACTTTTTTAAATTGGATATATTCTAATTTAAAGGTGAAACGTATCCATCTGTAAAATATCGTGTTCGGCCGGCTATGTGTCATGTTTGTAGACGAGATAGTTTGATAAGTTCAAGGAATTATCACGTCGCCAAGTTGACCAAGCCAATCTGTCGCTGTGCAGCCTGAAGAGTTTCAGAATGGAAAAGAATGTTTGGGGTCTGAGAGAAAGTGAAGGATTCTGTGAGGTAGAAGTAGTTACAGCTGAAAAATACATTCACACAAATACACACACGAATATAAAGAGACGGAAGGAAGGGGAGGAAAAGTTGAGATGAAGGGAGGTAGGAAATTAAAAGGATAAAGTAGAAGTATAGTAAATATACTGTCACTTTAAGAATAAGTTATTTATTTAAGTGTTGAATTTACATAAGAACACAACTCTAAGTGATATATTCATTGTGAGCTTACTGAGCCCTTGACTTCTTTACTTGGGGAGATAGCAGCCTGAACAGAGAGGAACTCTTCACAGAGTACGATGAGTATCATCTATATGTTCTCATGAGGAAAGAAAAATGATTAAAATACAACTCGGGTAAAGTTTTGAGGTAGTTAACTACTTCAAAGTGTTTCCTTTGGCACATTCAAGAGGTAATTGAGTATGGCTGATGAATCACTTCCTCTGTACCATAAAACAAACACATTCAGAACATGAGAGAGGTGCATCTGTGTATTTTAGCCTCAGTGAGTGAAGTACTTGACCTTGGATCTTCTGCTCTTTAAGTTCCATTCAATAGCACAACATCAGTACTTCTTTATGCTCACTGAACATAATCACTCTCTTATTTTACCCTGGCAAGTAATAACTGCAGATGCAGACTTTAGTACAGTTAGTGTAAATGTATTTATTTGAATACTCACTAAATGACTACGTTACACAAAATAAAGTTTTTAAAATGTCACTTGAGTCTAATAAAATTATTATTAAGCTGCTTTCAGTCACTACACTGTGAATATTTTCACGGAGGAGCTAAATGTGAGAACTTTGCGTTGCTCAGGACATTTTCTGGAACTTTCCCCTTTTGCATTCTAGCCGAGGAAGATGTCAACTCTGAAAGACGACGAGATTCCAGATATTTTGGCGATGAGGGCTGACATCTGTCTATGTACTGTAAACAAAAACACACAATTTTAGCAGTGAAATGTATATGTCATATCCTGCCTCTGCACGCTCACCCTCATCTGAACGTTCCAGACACGTTCCTGTTGTGAATGTGTCCGACCTGGACAGTTTCCTGCTTGACTTGATTTTCTGGAGGTCGTGTCTGAAAAGAACTTTAAAGGCCGTATGAGGGGTGATTGAGAAGTACATAGCTGTGCACATCATGTCCTTAAACCTCAGGCCACAGACCTCACCTCTTATATTTCACCACTGTGTTTACCTTGTGTGACCTGCAGTGGTTTCCCCTGATGTACACAAAGTCTCTCTCTCTTTTTGTTTTTCAGAATCATTCACAGCCGACCATAAGCCGTTGATGGGAGAAGCACCAGAGGTCAGAGGTTTCTTCCTGGGATGCGGTTTCAACAGTGCGGGTACGTGCTGCCGCGGCAGAGAGATGGAAAAGAGCATAGGTGGAGGGGGATTTAAAAGAAACATAAGAATAGATAGAGAAATGAAGGGTGCATGATGATAACAGTGTAAAATATCTCCAGTCGAATTGTTTGCCTCATAATCTTTACCTACATATCACTCACTGTGATGTACTTTAAAGTGCTTGGTCTAGAGCTTTCCCAAGAGGAAACGTTGAAGTGATAGAGATGGAAAGGTCAGAGGAATCCTCAATGGCAAAATAAACAGGACGAAAACAAGCATGGAGAAATGTTCGACGAGTGTTTCGACCCAGCAGCCGCCAATCTCCGTGGACACTCAACGTACAAATGAATAATGCAGTGCTTTTGGAGTCCAAGGATGACACACACACAAACACATGCACATACCAACAAAATCCCAAGTCACTTTACTACTTCACTCAGAGATGAGCTTACCTCTGAAATTGAACAGGGAGTAATGCGAGCATCTCGACAATCTGCAGAATGTAGTTAGAGTGGGCGTAAAGGGTAAAGTCATCGCCATTAGTGTTGGGAGAAAGCTTTCTTCTGCAAATGAGTCCAGGGGTCGAGATAGGAGTTATGACAATAGCTTGGGAGGTGCCGAGAGGTGGAGTCACAACGAGTGAGCATAAAGTGGTTCTTGCAGTTCTTGAGCACCTCCTCCCTTACGTAGGAGAGCACAGAAGCCTCTGTCTGTTTCCAAATACGTATCTTATATTTGGAATAAATGAGACTTTATTCTAACCATCAGTCTGATCATAGCTTTTATTTGTTATTAGGTTTCAAAATACAAGGGCTCAAATCAAATCCTCAATCTCAGAGCCGCTACACATTCATTTGTTAGACAGTAAACAGAACACAAAAACAGATAAACAATGATTATTGATTCATTGTGGCAAAAACAAAATGCCACAAATGTACCTGTTCATCATTTTAAATTGAATATTTTTTTGCTGGGGTTAGTTCAGGCTTCCAAGCAATCACTGATTCTTCCTACATGACAAGTTGTATTCGTTGCCTGGCAACCTTAAGTTGCTGATTCTTGTTGTCGAAACCTCGACACTGAGCTCTTTTTAACTTGGGAGTGCATTTATTTGTTGTGACTATGCTTCTGTAATTGCTTTTAACTGCTGCACCTCTGACCCAGCAGCATCACCATCATGCTCATAATTACAGTAATGAGCACCTTCCCCGGTATAATGGTGAGCCGAGTCCTTTCATCACATTAGAAGACTCAGGAAATTGCTCCACGAGGGCTGAAAAAAACCATTGGGTTCTGTGGCATAATGCTTCTTGCTGCTTTTTTGCAATGAGACCACGTTCTCTCATCTAGTCACAGTTGTGCTTCGGAGGAAGGTGCAGAGAACCATGGTAGACATGAAAGCAATGAGGTGGTTTGAAGTTGTTTGTAAGTTTTGTAACGACATAATTTCAGTGGCAAAATTTAAATGTGCTTTTGCCTCAGATTTGAATACAGTCAAACAGCAATGACAGTTGATTTGATACCAAGAACCAAGAAATGTGAAGCTATCGGCCAGTTAGCTGAGCTTAGCATAAAGACTGTAAACAGCGAAATAGTTTGTGTTAGTTAGGCCTGAAAATTATATAAATATTTCCATAATATTTTAATGTCCAGTAAAAAGAGGAATCATTTCCAAATGAAATAATTATTAAATTTATTTTAAACTGTAAGTACAAGAGAAATAAATGTACAAACTCAATTAGAAATACTAATTTTTGTCAGGGATTTAAAAGGGCAATTTCGGTTACCATTTACTTTTCTATTTCAATTTACCCACAATTTTTCTTTTCCCATTAGCTTTTCAATTTGCTAAGTCATTTAGCGTCTCCTTTAAGCCTCTTTTGAAACCTTTGGTAAAAATAATGTACATTACTTACAAAACGCAAATATACACAGTAGGCCTATACATGATTACTGTGAGAGAGATGAATAATTATAGCAACGTTTCATTTCTCCCTCTTAAAAAGTGTCTTTTGAATTGTATCAACAAACAATGATGGAGTGAGACACCCACATCAGGGGAGGAGAAGAGGAAGTACAGAGGCGGTGAAGGAGGGATGACAAGATGCGTGGAAGCATGAGGGGTTCGCATGCAGATAAATTCTCGCACATGAGCGTGGTTATCTGGTGACATTCATCAGTGCCACCACGCCCTGCTGGTTGTCTCCACTGTATCTTTGGACAATTCCATCATCTCCGTCTTTCACTGTCCTCCCTCTGTCATTCCACCATCCGTCCATCCATCCTGCCCGCCACTCAAATGTCCACCCAGGCTTTGCTAGGAGTGACAGTGTCCAAGATTGAGTAAAGTGATAAGAGATTGAGGGAGAAGGATGAAGGAGTAATGCAAGAACATGCTGGTCGTAATTCTATATGTACAAGCAATATTAAACCAGCTGTTTTTAATCTGCATGAACTGAATTCCCAGTGTCTCTGTGTGAGTTGAGATAAAGCGACTGCTGCAGCCGCTCTGTGCAGCTGATGAGGTCAGTTGGCCCGGGGGCAGCTGTGAGCGAGGGTCAAATGATGGTACAAAGGTCAAAACTATCCTTTGTAGGTCATGTGACATACAGAGGCTGCGGGGGAGGAAACAAAATCTGCTCCGGTCATGTTGTTTTTGGTTCAGGTTGTTCATCTCATTTCCAGAGGAGTGTTTGTGCAGTGTAACCTGTAATTCTGAAAGAATCATCTTATTTATTTCTTCAATCATTTAATTTTTTAAATATTAAATGTGACCATCACAGTTTTTCAGTCCAAGGTGACGTCTTTTGTTTTGTTTGACATTCTGTCAGATTTACAATGATAATAATAATAATTAGTTAAACATAATATTTGTTGCAATTCAAATCAAAAGTAATATATTATATTCAAATTGGATATACAGAGAGATTATTAAAAGTTACACTTTTACATAAGGTTTCACAAATAGAAAAATATGTAATCTTTAGGCTTATCTGCACCAAATTATCATAAGTATCAGGACTGTAAAAAAAAGATTGTGGGAAAACTGTCTGTTCTGAGTGATAAGCTTCTATCTCCTATTAATATTATGACTTTTTTCTCATCAGACTATAACTTCTTTCTCATTATATTGTGACTTTCCTCTCAGTAAATCCTTTATTCTCATATCATTATGACATTCTCAGAATCTCAAACACAGGAACCAGTGTTTCATTGATTTTTAACTGAATGAATCCTCTCACCAGTTGTAAATGTGTTTTACGTGAGGAGCTGAATGTGACTGACAGTTTGTGTGTCCTCTCTGCTCTGTGTGTGTGTGTCAGGTATGATGCTGGGAGGAGGCTGTGGTCGAGAGCTGGCTCACTGGATCATACACGGCCGCCCTGAGAAGGACATGTATGGATACGACATCAGGTACATCAGTCCATTAAAATATTTTATAAAAACACAGGTCTTATTGGTTTGGTGTCACTCTACAAAGCCGCAAATCATTTTTGAGCCCCTGATTTTATCAAAGAGGAGCAGAGACCAGAATAATACCAAAGCTTCAATGTGACTTTCAATGAGCGCTGATCTTTTGAATTCCCCTCCCTCCTGTCTCAGGCGTTTCCACAACTCACTTACGGACAACGCTTCCTGGATCAGAGAGAGGAGCCACGAGTCGTACGCTAAAAACTACTCTGTGGTGTTCCCCTTTGATGAGCCGCTGGCCAGTCGAAACATGAGGAAAGACCCTTTCCATCAGGTACAATGAGCGGTTTGATCTCCAGGAGTTCAAGGAAACAAACTACGTCTCTCAGCTGCGAGTTACACAGACTCTTTTCAGTGGCTTGATGAGTCATTTTTCAGGGCAGCACAGGTTTCATTAGCAAGAAATCTCTTCAAAAGAAGAGTGAAAGGTTCACTGATTAGATAACATGTTCTACTATTAGACCCTTTGGGGAAATAACGTCACAGACACAAACCTTTGTGCAGGCACAGTATTACTTGAAGGGTGTTCTCATTTATTTATATCCTGAATATACACATTACATTATTGAACTATTAATGTCAAGCTTCCAGGATTTTTTTTGCAGTTTCTCTGCTTTAAAGGGATTGATAGGTATTGATGAATCGGTTAAAGTATCTGGACTTCACTCAATGATGAGATGATTTCATTCCCTTCCCCTTATGTAGCAGATTCAACAGTTTAGTGCAGTTCCTGTTCTAAACCTGCCTGTTCGGGCTGTTTGCTTGTGTAAATGCTGGGTGCAGATTTCTGAATCTGTAAAAGTGACCTACAGTAATTGAGCTGCGACAAATTAAGTCATTATAAGTGTCAGTTACGACACATTTTCAATGTACTTTTAATTAAGTTATGGTTAGGCAGAATGTAACATCATATCCTCTGAATTTCTTTAACAATATAAAGAAACAACTAGAAGCAGAAATGTTAGATAATAGATTATATTCTTGTCCTTCTCTGTGAAATGTTATGAAACCATAATAATATCTGATGAGAATTTAATTTAACCTTGGTCTTATCCAAACACTTTCAGTTTAGTATAAGAAGGGATTTTACTTTATGAGACAAAGTGTCTGCAGTGTTCACCCAGGATTTAGACAGACACCAATTGGAAACGTTCTGGATCCCTGTGGCCGAGGTTTCGTTATATACCACAGGAATCATAAGTCTGTCGAATATAGAACAAACTAGTGCACGTCAGTACGTCACAGAACCAGTCAGAGGTTGCATGACTCACTTTTTTCCCTTTTACCTGTTTCATTTCTTCTCTGCTCTCCTTCAACCTTAGCACCCGCTCTCTGTCCTGTCCATGTGTCCTCTGATATTCTCTCATTATCACATCTTCCCCCAACACAATCCTCTCTTCCTCTCTTCACCCTGTGCATGTCTCGCTCTTCCTGTGGTGTCTGTCCTTGTTATAGTCTGTTTTCCGTGACAGAAGAAGAGGTGCCGCTGTTTCCTTTGCTCTATTAGCCTCTTTAACCTCGCTGTCTGGTTGACTAATTGAGGCGCTGATGAGGTGACGGAGCAAATCAACAGATTAAACCATGTGGAAACCCGGGCTGGAACATCTGTATGCACATCTGTACAGAGAAGACAATAAATAGAGGCGATGAGAGAGTGGAGCTCTCCGTCACCTTGTCGTTTCTTTCCTCGGTCTGCCTCCCCCCTTCCTTCCTCTCTCTCCCCCTATCTCCTCTGGTCGAAACTCCAGGCAAATGTATTCATGCACAAGGCAGTTACCAGTGTAACACATCCCCAGCAGCTACATTTATTAATACGATTGCTGCCAACATGACTACAAATGATAGACTTAGCTTTCAAAGCCCGGCCCTGGATGTCTCAGCTTCCTTTTTCTCTTTAGCACAACAAAAACTCTTAATGGGACTTGCCACCAAATTTCATGCATTAATTAGCCACTTAGCCATGCATTCCTGTTGCAGACTTCATTTACCTTAACTGTTGCAATGCCCACGCACAAGACGTTCTTTCAGAGCAGGTCACCACATTTTTGTAGCTCTTGTCTGCTGCTTTCATGAAGCTTGTTAAAGTTTTTTTTATGTTTTCAGTTGGTGGTTTATGTCCTCAAATGACTTCACTGAGTTTGTAAAGAGAAAGTCCCTGGTTTTTACCTCAACAAAAGTGAACAAAAAAATGATAACAAGATGAAAATGTTCATATCAATCAATAAGGTATAAAACCATCTCCTCATAGAAGTTTAAAAACTAGTTGCCGTTTGGAAATCTTTGATTAGTTTTCAATGACGCTCTTCGTATGGGGCATTAACGTGCATCATAGGCCACAAGTGGAAAGCACAAGTACGTCAGATCACACCTGACATGCGTCTCCATGTGCTCGAGTGACCACTTGAGATTGGATCTCAATTCCCTGCTTGATATGCAAATTCTGTAAACAGTACATTGTTTCTGTTTGCAATACATCTCCTCTTCCTGCCAGAAATGAAGAGACACAGAAAAAGAAATGAGGCATCTTTCAGGCAAACCAAGTTATCCACGATGTTTGGCTCTGCTGTTTCCCTGTCTGGGTTTTTCAAAAGATTTTATACGTGATGAAGCCAGTTTACACAGTTAAAGGTGAGTCTGGGTTCTGTCAGTAAAGCCCAGGACATATTAGCGTCCACACTGTTAAAAGAACACGGCAGCATGTGGCGTAGATTACCTCCGACTGTAGTCTGAGCGGTGAGATGTTAACGGCTCCTCGATGCATCTTTGTTGCTTTCAAACCTTTTCCTAGTGCTGTCCATTTCTGATGGGATCACAAAGGTGCATGTCAAGGCCAAATTTGAACTCGGCCAATTAATCATGCCAGTGAAGTGGCAGCATCTTTCTGATCCATTGTCCTGTTCTGCAATAAGACGACATTTAAAGCACAAAAACCCACTTTTATCACATCTTTTCTCCATCCGATAAAGTGCAGGGTCAGCCATTATCATGTTATGGTTAATGTTATTATGGCATCAGGTTTAATGTGAGCTGGCTACAGAGTGGAACACTCAGGTAGCCAGACTGCATCTCGAAGGAGAGCAGAGTCCCTGAGAGACTGGCTTTGTCCAACCCTCAGCTGCAAGCCCATTAGCCCCTGCTAATCACTCATCGAGGGCCATCACCTAGCAACTAGCCTTCCTCCTGCTGCAGAGCCTCAGATAAATCCAGGGGGTGACACAGTGAAAACTGAAAAACACTTGAAAAGTCTGATTTAAATTTTTTAAATGAGCCTCTGTTCGTGATTCCACCTCTTGTATATAATCATGCTGGCATGTGTTATGGCTAAGAAGTATTCTAGAGGATTGATTGGTCATGGGAGCTGTTGAAGTATTTAGACGATCTACTTTTAGGAGGCAATATAAGCTTATATTCACAGCTCAAGCAGGTGCATCTCTGACACTCACACGTTTCCACCACCTCGGTAGCACGCACAGTAAATATAGCTCAGTGTGGGTAGGTTTGGCAAGAGACAGCTAGCTGCCTGCTAGGAGGAAAGCATTGCAGAACATATACCTACCAACTGTGGGCGACTGTCAGTTTTAACAAGGAGGATGAGCGCTGAAATATCTAATATTAAATTCTTCAACACGCTTCAAGAAACCAAGTAATAACAAGCGTCCTATATTTACAGCACTTTGAGCTAAAACAGGGTTTTATCATCACGTCTCATCAGTTCCTCCCATGTAAGAGCTTTAATAGTTAGGAAGGTTAAATTGCATGTAGTGACAAAACTGCAGAGAATTACTTCTAGTATCACCTGACTGCAGTTCCTCTCTGACAGTTTTAGAGTCTTTCAGCTTGTTGGTTCGGCTTTACTCTTTAGTCTCACAGCTCTCGTCAACCTTGTTGTAGTCAGAGGCATCCAGTGAAAAAGCTCTGATAGACTCACTGAGCGCTGCTACCTCAGCACCAGATATCTGAGCACCAGATATCACCAACAACTGGTGTCATTGTTCTCAGGAGATGGGAAATAGGACACTAAGAGGTCGAACACAACTCCACGTAAATGTTAATGCTGCTCTGTGTCTGCGTGTGGACTGGACGCCTCTAATTTAAGAACAAATATATCTTCCAGTATTACATTTACAAAACATGTGGGGAAAATAAATACATAAGAGAAAGGAGAAGATACACACACTAATAAGGAAAGAGAAAAATGAAAATGATCACATGCAGGACTATTACATTTGTTTACTTCCCCCAGGCCTTTTCTCCAGATACATTTCTAACTCTGTTGTAATTATATAACGAGCAACAATCATTATTGAGTGCATAATGTCCTAATACTTAATATCTGTGTTTGCTCTGTCAGTGACAGTTTTCATGTTTACAGATATGAGTGACCATACAAATGTGTGGACTTTTTTGAACATGTGCTTTTAAACTAAACAAGAATGCATTTGTTTTGTTCCAACATAAATACTCATCTGTCTGTACTCTGCACTGATTTGACCTCTTTGTGTGTGTGTGTGTGTCTGTGTGTCTGTGTGTCTGTGTGTCTGTGTGTGTGTGTGTGTGTTTGTTTGTTTTAGGTGCTGATGGAGCAGGGCTGTGTGTTCCAGGAGAGACATGGCTGGGAGAGACCTGGCTGGTTCAACAAAGATGGGCCTGCCCCTGTGAGAGACACACACACACACACACCTATTCACAAAAACAGACACATACACACACATCATACACAAAAGGCACTAGGAATGACATGCTAGTTTTTGCTTTGGAACAGTCTGACTGACTGCCAGCAATAGACAACACTTAATGATAATGATAGATAATTAATAATGATTAATCAGCCTCTTACTGTTTATCTGTCTATATCATTGCACAGGTTAAAGACTATGATTACTATGGAGCTTATGACATTCAGAGGAATGTGAACTACAAATACAACGATTTGTTGGGCAAAGAGTACACCTTCAACTTCCCTCCACACCATGACGTGGTAAGCATTAAAGTGTGCGTGTGTGACAATGTGTGTGCTGCCGAGTAGACCAATGTTCATCAACTGGATGAAAAATATTGGGGCGGTCAGATGAGTGTGAATATTCTCTGAAGGTTCCCACGAGACGAGCAAACAAACGCGTGTCCTCCTGGGAAATATCGGCCCTGGACGGCAGACAGGGTAGAGGAGTGTAGCCTGTGAGTTTTATGGTGCGTGAAGGAGTTTGAGGGGGAGAGCCAGACTATCTCAGTAGCTACGGGGACAAATCACAAAGAGAGTATGACAATCTTGATGTAAAAACCTCGCTATAAGTTTTCCCTTTGATATAAAAGTGTCGTGATGAATGCTGCCTTCAAGGATCGAGCTCCAAAGATGTGCTGTCATCGTAGAAGCCTCACGTTTGTCAAACAAAGGACGCAATGTTTTTATGTCATAATTGGACGTGTGTCGTGATTAAATTTTTTTTTCTTTAAATGCAGATTAAGAGCGAGTGCCTCTCATGTAGACACGGTGTGGCTGTGTTTGACATGTCCTACTTTGGAAAGTTTTATCTCACCGGACCAGATGCCAAGAAGGCGGCTGATTGGCTGTTCACTGCTGATGTCAACAAGAAACCAGGTCAGTCTGGCTGCTACCGATACACACACCGAGCGCACACACCGCATGCACAGGCAGACAGACAGATGGAGGAAGAGATTGACTGACAGAATGAAGAGGTCCAATACACGGATAGAGAATCTAAACAAGGTGACAGCACAGTAGGAAAACACTCCATGCTTCCACAAAATCGCAAAAATACCACCTCTGCAAATGTAATAAAACATAATCTCTTAGTGATGCTGGTGAAAGTGGTGGCAGGGGAGACTTCAACACCTGATCTGTTTGTAACTTACCTGCCCGCTCCCTGCAGTCACAGACGTGCCGGGCATACAGGATATAGATATCTATCAATTTGTCTCAGGTATTTGATGCCAGAATAACGGGTTAAAATGCCATGAATGACAGCCGAGACTCACTCACGATCGATTGAGTGCATGTATTGATGGGACCTCCGACCTCCAACAGCTACTGCTCATAATCTGGCTCCAAATACACAAGATGGCGGCGTTCTTATCAGGGATATGGAAGTGGAGACACGTCATTTATCTTTATATACAGTCTATGTCACTGAGCAGGAACACATGAGGAGTCAGAGGTTGCTTTATTCACCCGAAAATCTCTCAGTCTTTCTGTTTTTCCAGTTCTTAATATTTAACAATTACAGGGTTGATTCTTGCTCAAAGGATATTTCATTCCCCAGCCAATTTAAACCATTTTCTTTGATTCCCCTGACAGAATGAAACTAAATCAATCTTCAGTCAAATGAGACATGACTGAGGGACAGTCACATATTAACACGTCACTTCATACATCAGCTGCTGCGGCCGATGGGAAACAGATGCGTTATCATTTTACGTCTCTCGTAATTAGACACGGACTTCATTCATTAGTAAATTATTTTGAGGACATTTTCATTATGAATATCTGTGTTAATTGATGCTCTCGGCCCTCATTAGGTTTTAATGTGTTCCATATTTCAGTCATTTCCTCTGTAACTATTGCTCAAAAGAGACGAGGTTCATGTGTCGTCAGGGCGACTGTCTGTGTTCGCTGGAGGCAGAGTGATAATGATTGCTGCCTTATAAAAAAAATTTTTTTTTAAAAAACGTTGCGAAAGACGTTTAAGAACGGAGGACGTAAAAGACAAATACTTATTCTGCATGAGGTGCAGGAAAGACACACACTAACACAAAAGCACATAAACTAAAATATTCATTATTAACAGAAAAATGGTTCAGATTCAGATTATTTTTTTTATTTCAAGATTGCTGTCGAGTTGTTTCCAAGAGAGCGCACACTTTAAATTGGCTGACAAATAACGCCTGTAGAATATTGCTCTTGTGTTTTTCAGGCTCCACCGTGTATACCTGCATGCTGAATAAGAGAGGAGGGGCGGAGGCTGACCTGACAGTGAGCAGACTGGAGCCTGGTGCCGCCATGCTGCCCCTGGCACCAGAATCCAACGGTGAGAAAGTGTGTGTGTGTGTGTGTGTGTGTGTGTGTGT